GAACTCTACCAACTTGCTAATTACATGCTATTTTTTTTTACTTTGCTATTGTTTCAAATAACCTTATTATTACTATAACAAAATAATTAGAAAAATTGTTTCACTCTGCTATTTAAGTTTTACTTTGTTCTTTTCAAGGGTATGCATACAGTCAGATTCATTATTCCCCCAGTATAGCCAAGTTTCTTCTGAAAGCCAGTGCCACTGACATATATAGAATCATAGAAAAAACTGGATTGGAAATGACCCCTAAGAGGTCACCTAAACCAAATCCCTGCTCAGCATAGGATCATTCCTGTCTAAACAATTTCAATAGTCACATGACCCTCATATTCTTAAATATATGTCTTTTTTGGATAAATTTATCAAAATGACTTTGATTTTTCAACATATGGAATGATGGCAGCCAACGCATTTTCCCTTGCTCAAACAAATTTCAGCATTGTTTTTCTGATGGTAAGAACCGAACTTCAAAATGTTAAACTAAGTGTGGCAATAGTTTTCACTGAGGAATTTTGTAGAGGCACAACACAGGAATGAAAATTCACAGAAGAATGTTTCATTAAGTGGTAAGCTGCGTGCTTAATGACACTGTAGCTCCTCACAGCTGGATGCGTGTACAGCTAGCTATTTGGATTTAAGGAAATGTATAAGCACGTTCCACAAGGCAACAAAATGGTTTAGATTTTTCATGCCTTATTTCTACTTACCATGGGAAATAAAATGACCAATCCTCTCTGACCTCCCCTCATTGTTGCAACATTAAGACAATTAAAATTGCATGACATTTCAGGAAACGTCAATATAAATTTTGCAAAGTTCTTAACCCAGTCATGTTATGCACACACAATACTTTCTGTTCCTTTTTCTTCTGAGGAAAGGTCCAACTATGCCTCTTAAGTACAGGCATAACAGGGAGCTGCTCTTAGCTATGGAAAGGTCCAGACAAGCTGTGCTACAGGGAAGACCCAGGGCAGATCTGCTAGACAAGGAGACATTTAGTGCACCTTTAAGATGGTATAGACCAGTGTTCTCTTCTCTTCTTCCATCTGGTCAAGCTTCAAAGTTCTCCCTAGTAGGGAGGCCCTACCTCCTGAGACCTACATAGTTGCTCATGCCCCAGGCACACTAGATGAGGCACATTTCTGCACTTATCCAAGTACAATGCCAAGCTGTGTTTAACATGTGTATGGGACACAAAACGGAAGAAGGTGAAGAGTCCTTTGACTTTGTCCTATCCCTCATCTGACTGCCACAAAAATACAGGATATGACATAAAGCTGAGTTAACACTGAGGGTGGCACTGTTGTACTTCTTGACCTTGAGATGTTTAATTATATAAGCACGACACTGCTGTAATAGTAGGGTGACCATATTATTTTTAAGGAAATCTGGGACACTGCCCCCAACCCTGCAAGTCAGCAGCTCTGCTGCAGGCAGACACAGAGGCAGGCGGGCAGGGGCGTGAGAGACAGTCTGGCAGGGAGGCGAAGTGGCATCGTATGCCAGCCAGGCACGTGGGCAGGCACTGCTGCTGCCTGACCACAGTGCTCTGGGCAGTCACTCACGTGGCCCACACCTAAGGCCGGCACTGTGAGGCAGGAAAATTCAGCCTGCCAAATTCTTTTCTCAATGCTGAGAGAGTCTTAGGACAATGTTAGGACACTCCCCGTTCCGTCTCCATGCTGGAGTGTGCCCTGTGCCCCTGCTCACCAGCCTCTGCCTGCAGCAGCCAATTTGGGAACTTTTGTTTCAATATTCACCAACCAGCCAGGATGCTGGGATGGCCTACAAAATCTGGGACTGTTGTGGCCAAACCAGGATGTATAGTCACCCTACTTAACGGTGTTTTGCATTTAAGACACAAAAATAAATACTATTCCTTCTCCATACACACAGGCCATGTCCACATGAGACGCTGACTGTGCAGTAACCAGAGTTACTGTGCAATAGCATTACCAAACAGCTTTTAGGTGACACTGACTGCACAGCAGCAATGAACTACTGTGTAGTCAGCATCTCATGTAGATGTGGCCCGAGTCTTAAGACTTTGAATGAAAATTTTCCTATCAAATAGAGCAAAGCTAGGAAGCTTTGACTCTGAGTCTGTAAAGAACTGAGTACTATCCAAAGTAATACAGTGTGTCTTCAATCATTTCATTGGCTGCTAAGGACATTGAGCACCTTGCAGGAGGCAGAGGGCATTAAGCAAGCTCTTCATTTAGTAATGTTGAAAAGTGTCAGAGGGAGATACCAGAATGATATGGAAGCAACATGAAGTTCACCTGTAAGAAATGCCATAGGTAAATCTCTTGTCAAGCATATGGCTAGACTTTTTAAATATGTATATTTCTTGACATTTGATGAAAGTGGTATACCTGCAACATATACATGGAAACTTCACTGACCTAATAAAAGAGTTATAACATAGTCAATGATTTCCCTGGAAATATGACACCTACTGGTTCAATACTCCTTCATGCCATCTGCTCTCACTGCCAAATTTTCCAAGGAGTAATTCCACTGAAGTCAGAGTTACTCTAGGGAGGAACTTGGCCAATGTTGTACCATATGGTTTCCATCTCCAAAGTCAGTGATGTATCCAACTAGACCACATTATGCAACATTTGTATAACAGCCTAATGACCATCCGGACATCTGTCAGATGGTAAAATTTGCGTCACTGAAAACACTGACTCTGCTTCAGGACACCCAGAGGTAAAGTTTCCAACCCTAATGTGGATATGAATACATGCATTTTGCTAGGACAATACATTTACCACACACTGCTGGTAAACAGCAGCAGCTAACCACAACAGTAGAATATTAACACTTTAAATACAGTCAACGTGATGTTTCAAAATGCAGGATTAACTAGATTTCCTACTGGTGGCCTCTGGAATGCATGTAGCCTGCAAGTGGTTAAGTTGCAGCCCCTGGACTCCCACCTAGCTCCACTCCTCCCATCGCTGGGGCTGCAAGGACAGTCTGAGTTTCTGGGTTCCCTCTTGCTCGTCCAGCTGCTGCTTCCTGTGCCAGCTCCAAGGGGCAGGGCAATAGAGCAATGTAGGGAGCTGAAGGTGAGGCCAGGGCATGCAGTGCAGCCTTGGGTGGATGTTGGGGTGGATGGTCACAAGCATACAGTGCAGTGATGAAACGTGCACATGGGCATGCCATGCAGCACTGGGGGTTGCAAGTATGCAGTGCAGTGGTGGTGGGGAGGGGGCAGAAGGAAAAAGGATATCAAACTTTATTTTATCTCCACCCTTTCTCCTTCTCCTTTCAAACTAATTCTCTAAATAGAAAAGGTAGCCCAAATATGGGGTTTATCAACCTTGGAAATGTCCAATTCAGCACTTGTCAATATTATATTGTAGAGAAGTGGGAGAAGAGTTTCAAGAACTCTTGAAAGCACCTGAACTTTGGAAGACTTGAGAAATGGATATGGTACAGATGAGCTTTATGCATTATTAGAGGAGGAAAGCAAATGTCTAATCTGAATAAAAACACACTTAAATACAGTTCAACACAGTAGGTGGCAAGGGGAAAACATAATTCACTCACTCTACAACCTAGTGGAAAGTGCTGTTAAGTATGTTAAATGGCAAGTTTAATGTTTGGGTTGAGAATATTTAAGAAAATGTTATCGTTCCCTGCTTACCCATACTGACCAAAGGAAGCGACAATCTATGCACTTACTATCTCTTGCTGGGTGGGCATATGCTGGGCATTGTCTCTGAAGTCTCTTGCTGTCTTTCCACTTAAATTTTAAAAATAGAAAAGTTCCCTGCCTTAAGAAACTTCTGATCCTGTGGGTATGATCCAAAGTATAATTCAGTCAATGTAAAGTTCCACCAGTTTCACTGGGATTCAGATAAAGCTGTAAGTGCCCATATCCAGTTGGATGACATTAGCAAACGTTTCACCATTAGGTTCAAGGGGAACAAGATTGGGTTCTAACTAGACAGATATAGGAAAGGATCTGGAATAAGAATGGTAACAGATGGTGTTAGCATTTGCAGAGATAACAAGTCAAGCAAAAGTAGTGGATTAATAAAAAGAGATTTCAAGGAAGACATGCAGGTCATTGGGTTCATGCAGCTGGGGAAGCTATTCCAAAGCACTGGAAGTGACATGAAACAGGATAATGAGGCACAAACACTCTGTTCACTCACTCCCTGAAGCCTCACTTGATTCAATGGGGCTCAACAGAGGGGCTAGAAATAAAGACAGTATTTGCCCCTCTGCCAGAAGTCATGGGGGACATAAAGGGAATACCCAAAAAGAGAGACCTGAGAAAAAAAAACAAACACTTCCTTCCTACAAGGCAGTCAGTTCATGAACTGCATCTATATTGTTTTCATTTGGAGAGAGTTGCTTAAAATTTAACAGTCCACTTAGCCGACAAAGCTGCCTAACACCCTGACCTCTCTAGAAATAGCCACCTGGTGAACAAGTCAAACCTTTCTGACCTGATGACCCAGTCTCTTATTCTCGCTAATTAGTTGGCATAATCCAGCAAAATCCTAATACTTAGGTACAGTGCTAATTAGGTCCAATCCTAATAATTTACATTCTACTCCAGGTGGAAGCTATCAATAATAGGAAATTAACAAATTCAAAAGGACAGATACAGGAAACAATAAAATCAAGCATTATTAAAAAATATCTTAATTTGTTTTTTCCTCTATCAGGCTTGTGCAGATGATAAGTGGTTTAACTTGTGCTTGGATGGGGTAACAGTAGTGTATTTCCGCTGACTTAAATTGTGTTACTCTTGATTTGTAGTAGCGTAACTGAGGACCAGAGACTTCACAAGAACAAAGGATCTAAATGTGAATAGCAAGAAAATTTTGGCAGATAAATACTTGCCTTAATCAGTGCTGATATGATTGCTGTTGTCAAATTTTGGTCAGCTGCTTACCTTCATACTCTTCAGTTTTAAATGTCAAATGAAATATTGCATGAGTTTCACAGACCCTGTCTTTGGGTATATTTACCTGTCACTAGCACAGTTACTCATTGCAGTCCAGTCATGATGTGGATTGACTAGGATGCCCCAGGAAAGGAAGACAGAGGATGGGGTCAAAGTGCCAACTACCAGTTGCAGAGGTTTGGACATCTTGGTCTGACCTGTGCAAGAAAAAGACAATACCAATTACACTTAATTTCTCTCCTGTGTTTTGGGGTAAGAACTTGTAGTGGGATGACAACAACAACATAAATTAAGATTTAAATTCCCCTGTCAATTCAAAGGGAATGTATAATGCAGGGCAATTATATTTGACTTGATGTGAGCACTCTTCCCTCTCAATTCTGAGAGAAAATATTCAATTTCCAAGTGATTATAGTACTACACATCTCCTTAGTAAGAATCATCACTACTACTAGATTTATATCCAGTGCTGATTTATATTGAGTGATTTCTTTTTTGCCAGGAGGACAATGAAACCTACCAACTTACTTGCCTTAGAGTTGTTGACAGGCTGCAAGTGGTGCCTATAATCTGGCTACATGTCTTTCCTTAAGCCATAAACTCTTATGCAATATTTGGAGTTTATCTTTGCCTGAAAACAGTTCTATAGCCATTCTTCTATAGTTGAATAAAAACATCTAGGTAAGGCTTTAAAAAGGTGGTGATCTACCAAGTGCTATACATTGTCATGGAGCAAATTTGGCTTCAAGATTTGTGCCTCTTTATGCCTCCCATATTTCATCAGCAGTACCTTAAGAGAGTTAAGGAATAGTATTTATGAGCTCTAAAGGGATTTCCAAGAAGAATTGCAAGGACGTGTGACTAAGTAATTTGTGGGTAGCAGGAGAATCCCTGTTGTAGGCGTGGTGTGCTACATTGATGAGAAGCATATTCACATTTTGTTTCCCATCCAGAGGAAGCATGCTGTGATGCAAAATACTGTGGAATGAACTACATTTTTTAATGGGCAAAACTCTAAACATCTGCCTGTTTTGTAGACTAATTTATCCTTTCTCCTGCTTGATGGTGTGTGCATGTATGTTTTTTTTACATAGTTCATTTATTTCTCAAGCTATTTGGCATTCCTCCTTTCTACAGTGAAATAATTACTTTAATTTACTTTGAGGAAAGAAGGATCACATGTATATGACTTTTTATGGAAGAGAAAGGTCCATTTCTTATCTGTAACTATACAGCTTCACCTTAAAGCTCTTTCTTGAGAAAAGATGATTTGCACTCTACGTCTATCGAATATATCTTGAACGACTTGAAGTCTGCTGATTCTTTAAAATGTTACCTACACAATTAAAATTAATTTCAACATATTAATATATTGTAAGCAGTATCCCAATATGTATTAAAATGGAGATATTTATAATTAAAAAAGCAAAGTCAGATCACTCAGAGTTTCCTAGAAAAACTCATAATTATTTTTTTTCTCTGAACTCTATAAAAGTCAGGCTCAAGAGTTTTTCAAAAGTAAGGAAATAAAAGAGACTCAACTGAAACATTTTAAAATGGTTTGTCTGTAAAGTGTCACATGCTCTAGGAATATGTAATAGTATGCTAGTAAGGTTTAACTTCCATTCATTTGATATGACTGACACTTCATGCAAATATCATGCCTGTTGAAAGCCTCTGGGTAAAGGTTAGAGGGGGGAGCAGCAGGAAGGATGTCATGGTTGGGGTCTGCTGTAGACCACCAAACTAGGAGGAAGAGATAGACGACACCTTCTTTAAACAACGGATGGAAGTTTCCAAATTGCAGGGCCTGGCTCTCATGGAGGAATTTAATTATAGGGACATCTGTTGCAAGGAAAACCCAGCAGTACCCAAGAACTGCAGCAAATTTTTGGAGTGTGTTGGAGAGACATTTTTAATACAGATGGCAGAAAGGCCAACTGGAAGGGAAGTTCTTCTTGACTAGCTGCTCACAAACAGGGAAAAAAATGTTTAGGAATGTGAAGGTGAGAGGTAACCAGGGTGACAGTGACCACAAAATTATAGAGTTCATATGTCCAAAGGGAAAGAAGAAAGGACAGCAGCAAAATAATGATGCTGGATTTCAGAAAAGCAGATGTTAGTAAATTAACGGAGCTAGTAGGCAGGATTCCCTAGGAGAAAAGTTTAAGGCGAAAAGAAGTTCATGAAAGCTGCCTGTATTTTAAGGAGGCACAGGAGCAAACTGATACAACAAAACAGTGGGAAGTGTAAAAGGAGACCAGCCTGGCTAGACAGCAGTCTCTTCAATGAGTTGAAACCCAAGAAGGAATCATACAAAATGTGTAAATTTGGTCATAGTACTAGGGAAGCGTGTAAGAGTATTGTACAACCATGCGGAGGGGAGGGGTGGAAATTAAGGCAGCTAAGGTACGGTTTGAGATGCAACTGGCAATGCACATAAAGGGCAATAAAAATGGATTTTACAAGAATATCAAGAGTTAGAGAAAGGCCAAAGACACTATAGGTCTCAAATAGAATCCAGGAAGCAATCTAGTTATGGATGATGCAGAGAAGACTGAAGCATTTAATGCATTTTTCACTTACGTCTTTACAAATAGGACCAGCAACCAGATGACAAGCACAGCTGGTAGCAAAGATAAGGAAAGACTCAAACAGCCTAAAGCAATGGAAGAACAGATTGGGGGTTACTTAGAAAAATGAGATGCATTCAGTTCGGCAGGGTCAGAGTGGATGCGCTCTAGGGTACTGAAGGAATTGACTGAAGAAATTTCAGAGCCATCAGCTATCCTGTTTGAGAACTTGAGGAGGTCAGGTAAGCTGCTGCTCACCCAAGACACTGCTCACAGTGACTGGAAAAGGACAAATCTAGTGCCCACATTTAAGAAAGGGAAGAAGGAGGATCCAGGGAATTTACAGTTTTATCAGTCTGACCTCAGTACTTGGAAAGCTCATGGAGCAGGTCCTCAAGGAATCTACTGTGAAATACCTAGAGGAGAACAAGGCAATCAGAAACAGCCAGCATGGATTCATCAAGAGTAAATGATGCCTAATCAATCTAATTTTTTCTGTGACAAGGTGACAGGCTCTGTGCATCAGGAGAGAGAAGTGGATGAGATCTGACTTGATTCTAGCAAGGCTCTTGACATTGTCTCCCACAACATTTTCCTTAAACTTAGGAAATACAGACTAGATGATAATACTGTAATGTGGATATATAACTGGTTAGATCATCATGCTCAGTGAGTAACCATCAATGGCTCAACATCTAAATGGGAGGAGATATCAAGTGGGGTTCCTCAGGGGGCCTGTCGTGGGTCCAGTACTGTTTAATATCTTAATAAATGATTTGGATGATGTTATTGAATGCATACTTAATAAAGTTTTGAATGACACCAAATTAGGTGAAGTTGCAGATACTCTGAAAGGTAGGTCTAGGATCCAGAATGACCTGGATAGACTGGAAAAATGGTCCACAATCAATCAGAAGAAATTCAATAACTGCAAATGGAAATTCCTGTCCTTGGGACAGAAAAAAATGCATGCACAAATATGATCTGAGGAATTACTGGCTAGGCTGCAGCACTGCAAGGAAGAACCTGATAGGGTAGGAGCTCAACTGCAGCAAGAGAGAGAAAAGAGGAAATATAGAGGACTAGTCTGCCCACAGCCCAGGAGGGGCAGAGAAAGGGCCAGAGATTGGGGCCAGGAGCCCATAGCCTGAGAGAGGCAGAACAGGGAGAGAGAGCCCACAGCCCAGAGGTGGGCAGAGCTTGGGGCCAGAGGGCCCACAGCCTGAGAGAAGGGATGGAGCCCAAGGAGCCAGGCCTAGTGCAGTGGGTCCAGGCTAGAGGGACTAGCCAGATTAGTGGAGGCAGAAGCTGGGAAGGCTGAGGCTCCAATAAGGGAGTGGAGGCCTAAGGTGTGGGGCAAGATGCCCACTTAAGTGATGACTGGAAATACCTGCAAGGCATGGGTGCAGCAGTAAGGGAGGTTCAGAGGCTATGATTAGCCCTTAGGGGGATAAGCAGTGACACTGATGCTCATGAGGAGATCTGACCTGGGAAGCCTTGGGGCAGCCTCCCTTTTCTGAAGTTATCATTTCAACAAGGTGTGGCAGGGGAGGAAAAGGGAAGATTGCCCAAATACAGCCAGGGCAATAAGGACTGAGAGAGGTCCAGGGACATTATAGCCACCCCTGGGGTAGGACCCTGTTACATATCTATATTAGTTAAGGTTAGCAAAGCTGCACCTGGGAGAATGGTTCAGACAAATCATTTAGTGAACTTGATCTAATTAAAATTTCCCATGATTGCAGAAGTTAATGAAGTTAATAATCCTCAACTGTTGCTTTAGCCAGTTTAATTTTTTTATGCAATATCTTAACAGCAATCAGTTATTGCATCTTTTAATGTGCCTCTATTGAATAAAAATATTGCTTCATGCCTGCAAGCGAGGGTAGAGAAATTAGTTCCTCAAAGCCATAGATGGTTAGAAATGTTTCATTTGAGGCTCTCAAATGCTTTAAAAATATTAATGAATTTATCTTTCACAATCTAATTTTGGAAGCAGAGAGTTATCTACATATTAAGAGGAGGAAGTAAAGCGCTAATAGCATAAATGACTTGCTAATTATGACACAGGAAAAGAACTCAAAACTTCTTAACTCTTGTGGCTTTTCCCTTCTGCAGAATGTATTAGTGAGGTTAGTAGTTCTCTGATAATGTGTATAAGGTCCTTCCTTTAAGGCATGAATGTCATTCAAGTTTCTAAAGAGCATTTTGGGACAGGCTGTATCCCCTGCGCACAGAAGCTGGACCTGGCTGGGAGCAGGTCCTGTGTGGCAGCCCCTGGGATCTGCCAGCCCACTCTGCATGGCCACTTTGCCCCTGCCACTGGCTGCTGCAGCTACTGCCAAGGCCTGGAGTGTGCATGGCAGCCCTAGGCAGCTGCCAGCAGCAGAGACAGATGTCATGTGTTGGGGGTTGCTTGTCCCAAGGTGGAGCACTTTACATTTCTCAACGTTGAACTTCATCAGGTTCCGATCCACTCAACTTGCTAGCCTGTCTAGGTCCACCTCTATCTGTAGCCTATCTTCAAGAGTGACCATGCTTCCCCATAGCTTGGGGATCATAGATCCTCCCATGTTTAAATTAGTATAGTTCAAAGCAAAATTATTGTTTAAAACTGAGCATCAACATTAAACCAACCAAGACAACTTTTTCCTATACGCTTTTGGTCTCCGTATTCTAAAAAATGGAAACTTAGTATTTTAAATCTCACATTTTTTATCCAAGAAGTCAGTATAAAAGCCTTCATGTATTACATCTGTGTGTTTTAAGATATATATATATCTATATATATCTATATATATATAAACCAAAGCACTGCCTAGATATGTATGCTTAAAATTTTATTTTAAATTACTCAAATGTGGATTTGGCTACCTCACTTGGAGACTCACTCTTTAAAATATGGTCCTTTCAGTTCCATTACATAAACAACATTGTCTTTATTTGACGTTGAAAGTGTCATGGCAATATTACATTACCTGAGCAGGTTTTCTTATTTGAAGTGCGTGCAGGTCGCACTACAATCAAGTACCTTGGCTCTGCATCTAGAAATAAAAATCCTATAATTAGTATGAATTTACAGTTTGTAAAAGTCAATCAATTTATTATTCATGGTGAACAGTTAAGCACATTCAATTCTTGTTTAATAATTTATTACAATCTGTGGGCACATGTATATTATGATTTATTCATTGAGTATCTAGAAACATCTGAAACGCCATCAGAGAGATTTTAATAAAAGACACGTCCCTACAGTTATGTAGCTATGATCACATCAGTATAAGTATTCATATGGAAATTATTATTCAACAATAAGAGTGTCCAGAAAGGGACATGTATTAGTATAATTCTAATGATATTGTTATACTCATAGCCATAACCGGGAATTTCATCACATGAACAGCTCTTGATACATCAATAACCAGTCCAGTTTGGAACAGCATAGCAGTAGGTAAAGGCTTTTGTATTAGCCATTATATAGTTCACATTGCCATAGTATCTGAGGAGGCTCATCTACAATAGAGCCTCTGCTACTATAGCCATGCTAGTGTTGCTATGTTGGCAGAGCCCCCTTATGAAAATGCAGCATTTAACAGCAAGGAGTAGCTTTTCTGCTTGCATGGACATAAAAAACATAAAGTAAGTGGACAAAAGTATTTTTCTGTTGGCAGGCTATATTGGGATAGTTGTTTTGGCCAGAAGCAGGGAAAGATTGCAGTTTGTATCCATCCTAAGAACCTGGCTAAACTTTATAAAATAGAACAAGCCTCAATGCTGGCTCCCCATTGAAATTCCTGGTGCTGCTTTATAAGGAGGACTTCCTGGGCCAGGGTTTTACAGACATTAAAACAGTATCAAACTGATAACAATTAACTATAAAATAGCTCATATCCAGCCATTACCCTATCCTCAGTATAAAAAGCCCTTAATCACTGACTCCAACTACCAGATGTTCTATTCATAGTCTTCATGTTTTCCCTTTTCCTCTGCTATGAGTCACATAGCAGAAGTTGAATTTTTTTATGATGATTCTGCCCATTCCTTATTAAAATGTATGATACAGAAATCTACAGTGATGTTTCATATCCCTTCATGAACACAGCTGTAAGCTGCAATGCTCTTAACTATGACAATGCTGCTCTGAAACTTTTTTTTAAATGAGATGCTGCTGAATTCTCTTTAACAATCATGAACATTTAAGAAAAAGAGAATGACCCAAAGCTTCAATACAGCAATATTGCATAATAATTTTTACTACTACTTATTTAGTGACTTTAATTTTTCCAGTAATGTTTCTTCTACCTTTTCTGTTGCATGTGTCAAGGATTGAAGTTAGCTAAACCACAGCCACACCAGCTAATTAGTGCCATAATATTCAGACCATGACATAATAAGGTCAATATATCTCTAACAGGGGTAAGGGATATGGGAGGAAAAAGATTCTGCAAAGTTAGGGAGAAACTTGTCACAAGGCAGCGCACACAAATAATTGTGCAATGCTGTTCAGAGGAGAAAAGCACTTTGCTGATCTCATCAGATGTATGAAATTCAAACACACTAATATTAGATCTCATGAAATAGCCAATTATTCTAATTTTTCTACTTACACTAGAAATTACTTACTCTGAATATTTTTCCTTGCAGCTTCACTAGAACAAATACTTTAGTCACATGTAAGCCCATAGTTCCCCCCACAGCTGTTCAGAAGTTTTTGGTTCCATAGAAAATTCAAGTGGCATAAGATTAGAATTCTGAGAATGATGCATACTTTTTAAAAGATGCATAATATAATTATGTAGATTGAGACAGATACTCCTTAAACCTATAAAATAATTTAAATGATCACAGTAATCACGTGTGTATCTCCCAGAAAATAATTTGATTTTTCATCTTTAGTTTAATTTTGTACTATGTATAGCCTATTACAAAATTACATCTTCCTTGAAGTTTTCCTGTAGCAGTCAGCTTCTCAATAAACAGTTGTTTTAGTTTGCACTGTAGCATTACTAGTGTAGACAAAGGTACCACAATGCTGGGCACAGTATAATCTGCAGAGTGATAATAAAGCATTGTATATATATTCATGACCCTTGGGTTACAAATGCCTGGGAATATGATGCGTTTGTTCTAATCTCTACTTGACTGCTGACTCCTTTGGTGGTTGTGGGCAAATCCTTTGGAATATGACTCAGTTTCCATGCCCCTACAATGAAATAAATATGTTAGTTACCTGCCTCAAAAGGATTTTGGAGGTTTAGTTGTTGAAGTACTATGATAATTTTGGACAGAGGCACTATATAAGTGAAATTAATACTGTTATAAACTTCCTACCAGTATTATGTTCTATGCCAGGGGTCAGCAATGTTTTGGGGCAGTGCCAAAAGCACCCACAACCTTGACTTGTAAGATGTTGGTGTGCCAGGGCAGACAGTGGGGGAGCCATGAGCCCCCAATCCTTGTTATGGCAGCCCAGCCACTTCCCTGCCATCTGCCCTGAGGCACATGTGCCAAGCAAAATGCCTTTGCGCACACTCTGGCACCTGTGCCAGGGGTGGCCTCCCCTGTTCTATGCATTGGTATAGCATTCAGTACAACAGGCACCTTGGGAAATGGGAATCTTGGGTACTGCTATGATAGAAAAAAATATTTATGTGATAGCAAACTTACACTTAACAAAATTCTGCTCTAGTAGAGTTGTCTGGGTGCCAGCCAATTGTACGCCCACCACACTTTCCAATATTTACATAGCTTTTAAATTTAACCTTGGGGTTTTTTCTTAGAAGAAATGCTCCTAAAAATTCTTGTCAACTTTTTCTCTTTCAAAGCAAGATTTGTCATCTCAATCTTTGTTCCAATTTAAACTTTCCTTTTTTGGCCTGGGAATGAACTGTACAACTTGCTGTAAAAAGCTAGGCGTGTTTTGTTTAAAAAAAGATAAAGAAGTAAATCACCTGGCTAATGGCTGGCTAAATAAAAGCAAAGGTTTCTGAATAGTTGAGAAGTTTGGGTTTCACATTTAGCCCTGCTAGAATAGCATTCCAGTTCCATAAGGCAGGAGTTGCAAATACAGCTGCAGCTGTTTCAGTGTCAGAGTCATTTGTTGGCTGCATGTGTTGATGGAGAACCAGCTTGTAAATCCTGTGGAAATATCGTTCTTTATAGGAAACCATGAAATGGAGCAAATCAAGCTTCACTGTTATTTTTACACAAGGGCTAACAAATTTTCAGTACACTTGATACAATCTGGAAGAGCACAAACTCATGTGGTGAGAGGCCAGAAGTTCAAATGATGTTTCTGGCACTGAGCACCAGATAACTTCACCCCACAGCTTAGAATAATACACTATTTGATTAAAACAATGTTGAGATGGTGATGATCGTTACAGTTTGGGGAAATTTAGCTGAACTGACAAAACCCCATAATATAGGTATACTCAAACAATGTTAACCCTCGCTTTTACATTGGTTTAGCCTACCTCTAACTTAAACTGTACCAAGTGAGGAATAAACCAGTTTAAGTGAATCTGCTATGATGGTTGCATTGATTTTACTGCATTGACTGTAAGCCTATGTTAGTGTTGTGGCACAAATGAGAAAATACAGAAGCAGTTAAAATTAAACAATGGCTGACACAACTCTAATCATCCCTTAATTTGAAACACAACATTTTTGATGTTTTAAGATTTTTTAGAAAGAGAGCAGTTTGCAGCACACTTTGCAGTATGCTGTCTTTATCCAGGCTCAAAGCTGTTTGCAACCATTACACACCACAATACCTATCCCTCTAGGATAGGGATTTTTCAGAGGGGTAAACACAGGTAAGAGAGACTGAGGCCTTATATTTTTCAGAAGTTTATACTTATGCTGGTGCCCAACTTTAGATCCCTATACCTGAATTTTCCAAGAGCTGATTATTAACAGCTCCCACTAAAGTTTACTGGAGTGATGAGTTTTCAACACCTTTTAAAAATCAGGCCAGATACTGGACACCCAAAATGAACGGGCACTTGAAGAAGTAAGCCTGAATGACCTCCCCAAATTCAGATAAATAGCATCAAAGCAAGAAGCAGAGTAACAGTTCTGACTCTCAGGATCCAGCTCACTACAATACAGACCACCTATGCAAGTTACAACCCATAGCCAACATTTTCAGTTCCGTAATTAGGAACATAAATTAATGCCTTGATTTTCAAAAGTGTGAAACCAAATCTGAGAGTGGTGGATATTCAGAACCTGTAGAAATCTAGCTACATTTGCATTAGTGCCTACAAAAATGGACTGAGGTGTCTGACTGGAAGTACTGATGTGGTCTTCCCATGCTCCATATCTAATCCTCAGCTGGAAATTCAAATGCATTTGTGAGTGAGATCATGTGGCCTTTTAATGTCACATAAAATGGACTCCTGAAGAAACACAAACTTGATTCCAGGTCTTGCCTCATTTTTTTTTAGTTTGGCTCATGAAATGCGCATGGTACTTCTCGGAATGCACTAAAATTGCACTAAACAGCATGTGTTTTCATTTTAAAATGCCTACTGGCTGCTTGGTAGATGTTATCTAGACTGTTGGAAGTTGATAGTGTTACCCTGCCTTTTCCACAAGTGATTCAAGTTCATGGGGGTGGGGCGGTGTTCCTCTTACCTAAGCCTTGGGCAGGAAAAACTTTGTTTAAATTTGAGAAAAAGTGATGCAATCCAAGTCTGAGATCACCTGTGTGGCCACCTGTGTTACCACAAAGCAGGAGGGATTTAAAATCAGGGAGAGTAAACATCTCCCACCACACATTTCAGAACAATTCAGATAAATATTCAGGGCTGATGTTTATCACCAGTTGTTCATTGTATCAGGTGTTTGTGTTCTATATTTGAAATCTATTCCCAGCAGAAATATTGTATGTTGGGCGTTGGTTGCTAACTCATCTTGTGGATTGGCAAGAATACAGCATATCCACATTTTCCACCAAACTCACAATTTGCTCAATAACAGCATCTTTAAGGGACTTTTTTCTAGTGTAATAGACAAAACTAAGAAGCACCCATTGTCT